CATTGAAGAGTTGGGTACTTCCTGTAGTGTTCACAGTCTGAACTTGTTTGTGCCTATCCTTTTTTTTTAAGATGGAGTTTTGCTGTTGTTACCCAGTCTGGAGTGCAATGGCACAATCTCGACACACCACAACCTCCGCCTCCTGAGTTCAAGCAATTCTCCTACCTCAGCCTCCCGAGTAGCTGGGACTACAGGCACGCGCCACCATGCCCAGCTAATTTTTTTGTATTTTTAGTAGAGACGGGGTTTCACCTTGTTGACCAGGATGGTCTCAATCTCTTGACCTCATGATCCACCTGCCTCGGCCTCCCAAAGTGCTGGGATTATAGGCGTGAGCCACCATGCCCGGCCTGTGCCTATCCTTTTTGGGAAGGGTTTCCAGGTATTCTAAGGCCAATAACACTGTGTTTTGCAGACTCGTAGAGGTGCCACCTTGGTGATCTTGGATAAGGCAGAGGAATTACCCGGATCACCAGGCAGAGACTCTTGTTCTTTTCCCTTACTTCCTCCCAAATAAATGGAGTCTCTTTCTCTGTGCTAAAGCCCCTGGAACTGGGCGTGTGGTGATGCAAGCACTCTGGCCACCACCACTCTGACTGCACTGGGTCAGACCTGAAGCCAGCCCAGCACTGGGTCTTGCCCAGAGCCCTTCCCTTCAGGGGAGTAATTTCCTTCAGGCCCCTGGCATGTCCAGAGACAGTTTGTAAGCCAGAGATTGGAGTTAAATACCTTAATAGTTTACCTGATGTTCTATTGTACTGCAGATAAGCTAGAACTCACACCATAATACAGAGTCCTTCCCCCTCTTCTCTTTCCTTTCCACAGGTAGAGGGCCCTCTCCCTGTGGCCACCACCACCATTGGTTTAGAGGGATTCTGCCAGGCCACCACCAATATTCACTTAAAGCCGAAGTGCTCTTCCATCACCTTGTGGTGAATCCTGCCTGGCCTGGGACTTACCCTTCAGGGCAGTGGGTTCCCCTTTGGCCCAGGGCAGTTACAGAAATGCTGTTCAAAAGTGTAGGCCTGGGCAGGACGCAGTGGCTGCCACCTGTAATCCCAGCACTTTGGAAGGCCGAGACAGGTGGATTATCTGAGGTTAGGAGTTTGAGACCAGCCTGGCCAACATGGTGAAACCCTGTCTCTACTAAAAATGCAAAAATTAGCTGGGTGTGGTGGTGTGCACCTGTAATTCCAGCTACTTGGGAGGCTGAGGCAGGAGAATTGCTGGAACCTGGGAGCTGGAGGTTGCCGTGAGCTGAGATCACACCACTGCACTCCAGCCTTGGCAACAGATAGAGACTCCGTCTCAAAAAAAAAAAAAAATGTGTAGGCCTGACTTGGGGACCCCAAGAACTTGCTTGTTGCTCTACCTTACTTACTGTGGCTGAGCTGGTACCTAAGGTGTAAGACAAAGTCCCCTTTACTTTTCTCTCTGCTTTTCTCAAACAAAAGGAGTCTTTCACTGTAGCCACCACAACTGGGAATGTGCTGGGTCACACCTGAAGCCAGCACATCTCAGAGTCTCATCCAATGCTCATGATTCACTCCTTGGGTATTGCTGCTGGTTATTCAGGGCCCAAGGGTTCTTTAGTCAGCAGGTGATGTATCCTGCCAGGACTGGGTTTTTTCCCTTCAAGGCAACAGGTTCCCTTTTGGCCTAGAGTGGGTTTAGAAACGTTCAGGACCTCGGGCCTGTAATGTGGGCCTCACAACTCTGCCCAGTGCCATATCCTACTGTGGCTGAGCTGGAATCCAAGATGTAAGACAGTCCTCTTTACTCTTTGTTTGCTCCTTCAGCAGAAGAAAGGAGTCACTTCTATTGCAGCTGCCTTGGTTTGGGGGATTGATGACGCAAGCACTCCCTTAGCTATGGCAGCTGGTGTCTTCCTAAATCATATGCCACCCTAGTCCACTTACTGTAAACCCAGCCTAGTGCTAGTAGCCTAGGAATTGCAGTCCTTGTGCCCTAGATTGTCTTTTAAGTTCATCTGGGACCCCAGAGTGCTTCAGCTCACGGTGATGAGGCTTGCAGGGAAACTCAGGTTCTGACTGCTGGGATAGATGCTTCCTGTCTAGCTAGGGCTCGTCCGAATGCTCCCTCCATGTGCTGGCAGTGGCTGAGCCCACCATGGCTTTAGTCTCCACTGTGACAGGGTAGCACTGAGTTCAATGTAAAGGCCCTCAGTCACTGTGCCCTTCCTTTCTCAAGTGCATAGGTACTCTCTCCACACCACATGGTTGCTGCAGGGGGTTGAGGGAGGGGTGGCATTGGCAATGCAAGACCATCTTTTCTGCCTTCCTCGATGCCTCTTTTAATGATATGAAGTCAAAACTAGGTACTGTGATTGCTCACCTGATTTTTGGTTCTCATGACAGTGCTTTTCTGTGTGATGGTAGTTAAAATTCAGTGTTCTAGTGGGGGAACCAATGATATAGGCTTCTGTTTCACCATCTACCTGCCTCCATAATCTGATTCTTACTTGGAAATTCTTACAGCTAAATATCTCCTGTCCAGATTCCTTGCAGGGTTCTATAGGGAAGATCACTTATCTTTATCATACAAACTTTCACTCTTAATGTTGTAATTCTTATTTACCTATCTACGAATGAATATTATATAGCTGTGGGATGACTTCAGGCAAGTTATTTAATCTCTCTATGTTTCTTTGGTGTTAAATATAAACTGAGTTGTTTTGAGGATTAAATGAGGTAATTTCTAGCACAGAGTAAGCACTTAGTAAATAATAGCTGTTACTATTATCTCTCTTCAGCCAGGCTGAGGTCTTAGAGGGCAGTGCTCTCATAGTGTTCTTTGTATCTTCTGCAAGTACTTACCTGAGATGTCCCAGAAATAGTAAAAAATGTTTAATATTGTTTCCTGATTTCTTGAGTCTTGCTGGTATGTATAAGAATTTTTTACACTGGGTTTCTTTGGACAAGTTTCCTAAGAGGTGCTTGTTTGTAGTTCCGAAACATTGGATTCAAATTCCGTTTGTAAGTATTTTTTTTGTTGTTTTTGAGATGGAGTTTTCGCTCTTGTTACCCAGGCTGGAGTGCAATGGCGCGATCTTGGCTCACCGCAACCTCCGCCTCCTGGGTTCAGGCAATTCTCCTGCCTCAGCCTCCCGAGTAGCTGGGACTACAGGTGTGCGCCACCACGCCCAGCTAATTTTTTGTATTTTTTTTTTAGTAGAGATGGGGTTTCACCATGTTGACCAGGATGGTCTCGATCTCTTGACCTCATGATCCACCCACCTCAGCTTCCCAAAGTGCTGGGATTACAGGCGTGAGCCACCGTGCCCGGCCTCCATTTGTAAGTTTTAACTATTTTAGAAAAACAGCAATAATCTGTGAACTCAAATGTTATAAAATAGGATTTTAAATGATAAAGATTATCAGTCCTTATAGTTGTTCATGCCTGTAATCCCAGCATTTTGGGAGGCTAAGGTGGGAGGATCACTTGAGGCCAGGAGTTTGAGACCAGCCTGGGCAACATAGTGAGACTTCATCTCTACAAAAAGAATTTTTTTTAATTAGCCAGGTGTGGTTGTGTACACAACCGGAGGAACAGTTCAAGACTCTTATCTCCCCTCCCCTTACGGGATACAAGTACGTGATGAGGAAAGACGTTCCTTCTTTGCCATGTTTACTGCAAGAATGAAGACCATTCCAAGCAATCAGACTGTCGACATTCCAAAAAATGTTGATGTTACTCTGAAGAGACTCACAGTTATCGTGAAGGGCCCCAGAGGAACCCTGCGGAGGGACTTCAATTACATCAATGTAGAACTCAGTCTTCTTGGAAAGAAAAAAAGAGGCTTCAGGTTGACAAATGGTGGGGTAACAGAAAGGAACTGGCTACTGTTCAGACTATTTGTAGTCATGTACAGAACATGATCAAGGGTGTTACGCTGGGCTTCTGTTACAAGATGAGGTCTGTGTATGCTCACTTCCCCATCAACGTCGTTATCCAGGAGAATGGGTCTCTTGTTGAAATCTGAAATTTCTTGGGTGAAAAATACATCTGCAGGGTTCAATGAGACCAGGTTTGCTTGTTCAGTATCTCAAGCCCAGAAAGATGAATTAATCCTTGAAGGAAATGACATTGAGCTTGTTTCAAATTCAGTGGTTTTGATTCAGCAAGCTACAACAGTTAAAAACAAGGATATCCGGAAATTTTTGGATGGTATCTATGTCTCTGAAAAAGGAACTGTTCAGCAGGCTGATGAGTAGGACCTTAGAGTTGTCCAGCTACAGAAACAAGATGCCTATCATAGCTAAGACCTACTTGTGATATTTAAATGATGCAATAAAAGACCTATTAGTTTGGGGGGAAAAAAAAAAGACTCCTCAATTAAAAAAAAAAAGACTCATTGTATTAACATCTGCTAAATTGATTCATTTTTATGCTTTTCCTATCATCTTTGTAAACAAGACGATCCTGACGTTAATGGGTAAACTGTTAAAAACAAACTGCAAAACAAACTTGTTGACATTTGCAAATATTTCTCTCCATAAATTTTAATTGTGTGAATTTTAAAAATACAAAAATAAATAAAATAGGATACAGGAATGCAATTGACACATAACCTCTGCTTTCATTGATTTGTATTACTCAGATGAGGCTTATTGTTGCTGTTCATTGATTTTTATAATAAATTCATTCTACAAATTTAAATAAAAATATACCTGTTCTAATTAAATGTTGACTTACCTTTGGAAAGAGGAGACACTGATTAGTAACTTGCTTGTTTTTATGTATTTCTTTGCTAAGCATTTATTATACTGTTGTTATGTAATAGGTATAAGGCTCTAAGCTAACAATATAGGTTTGACAGGCTACAACTGGCAGCCTTTGGTTAAACACAAACTCATTATGTTTCCACAGAATTGTGCATTTAGAAGAATACTTTATTGCTTTAACAATCTTTGGAAACACTGACTTGTAAAGTATCCTATGTCTCTGAGTCAGCTAACTCCCATCTTTTGCTTTTTCAGGGGTCCAGCTGGAGTAAGAGCTCAAGCCCTGGATAGAGATGGAAATCTGGTAGAAGATTTTGTATTTGATGGAGGAGTTGGGGATATTGGAAATCGCATTCTTCACGTGAGAAATGCACCTTCCCCTGCTGCTACTTCTTCCATCGCAATTTCTGGAATGATTGCAGATGAAGTGCAACAAAGATTTGAATTGTGAATAATGAAAGGAGCTAGGTATGCACTAAAATCTCCATGTCAGCAACAAGAATGTACTAATTTCATTCTTTAATATCAAATATGTTTTTTAAAATTTCATTTTTATGTGAAAGATAACCACTGAATTGTTAAAATGATGTAACATAGAAATAATAATTTTCTACAAAAATTAGCCAGGCATAGCGGTACATGCCTATAATCCCAACTATGGAGGCTGAGGCAGGAAAATCACTTGAACCAAGAAGGTGGAGGTTGCAGTGAGCTGAGATTCAGCCACTGCATTACAGCCTGGGTGACAGAGCAAGAAAATAATAATAATAATTTTTTAAATGTTAGGCTGGGGGCTGGGGCTCACGCCTTCAATTGCCAGCACTTTGGGAGGCCAAGGCAGGCAGATTGTAGTCCAGGAGTTTGAGACCAGCTTGGGCAACATGGTGAAACCTTGTCTCTACAAAAAATTAGCTGGGTGTAGTGCCTGTAGTTCCAGACACTCAGTAGGCTGAGGTGAGAGGATCACTTGAGCCCAGGAGATCCCGGCTGCAGTGAGCTATGGTCATGCCACTGCCTTCTAGGCTGGATGAATGAGCAATACCTTGTCCAAAAAAAAATTCCAGCCTGGGCAACATGCTGAATGAAACCCTATCTCTACAAAAAATAAAACAATTAGCTGGGCATGATTGGTGTGTGCCTGTAGTCCCAGCTACTTGGGGACTGAGACAGGAGAATTGCTTGAGCCTGGGAGGTCAAGGCTACAGTGTGCCATGTTTGTGCCACTATACCCAGTCTGGGCAAAAAAGTGAGTCCATGTCTCAAAAAATAAAAATAGCATAAATTCCATGCCATGGTGTGATCTCGGCTCACTGCAACCTCTGCCTCCTGGGTTCAAGTGATTCTCCTGCCTCGGCCTCCCAAGTAGCTATAATTACAGGCACCCACCATGATGCCTGGCTAATTTTTTGTATTTTTAGTAGAGATGGAGTTACACCTTGTTGGCCAGGATTGTCTCGAACTCCTGATGGCAAGTGATCCACCTGCCTCGGCCTCCCAAAATGCTGGGATTACAGGTGTGAGCCACCTCACCAACCCTAAATCTCTGACTGTGTTAATGACCTGTCCTTTCCAACCATGACCTAGAGAAGATTTGGCTTTTTAAGAATTTTGGAGGGCCAGGCACGGTGGCTCATGCCTGTAATCCCAGCACTTTGGGAGGCTGAGGCAGGTGGATCATAAGGTCAGGAGTTCAAGACCAGCCTGGCGAAGATGGTGAAACCCTATCTCTACTAAAAAAAAATACAAAAATTAGCTGGGCATGGTGGCACACACCTGTAAGCCCAGCTACTCAGGAAGCTGAGGCAGGAGAATTGCTTGAACCTGGGAGGTAGAGGTTGCAGTGAGCTGAGATTGTGCCACTGCACTTCAGCCTGGGCAACAGAGCGAGACTCTGTCTCAAAAGAAAAATTTACAGAAAGATGGCATAAAAATGGGTTATTTTCTTAAATCATTTTTTCAGCGTTATACTATCTAAGTTCATTTGGTCTCTCCTAGGCAAGAAAATATATTGTAGGTTGCAAACTTTCTTTTAATTTTGAAGAGTCATAAAACTCACATTATTTAGAGCAACAATATTTGTATTTGGAAATTAAAAATTCATGATTTCAAGACAATACACAAAATCTACATTTTTGAGTAGTTTGAATAAGATTCTTAGTTATAATATTCATAGGAAATAACAAAACAAACTCAAAACCTTTTTTATTTCCAGCTCTTTGTAACTGATGTGGTATAGTATCATCATTACATCTAAACAGCAGTACACTGAGTGGTTATCCTGTTCTTCAGTCTCTGTGGCTGAAAAATGAAATAACTTAGAAGAGATAGGTTTTCATGAGAGCAGTTTAGAATCCTGACACTGATGTGTAGAACTCTGTCATTTTAAAAAGATATTTATCTATTATATTTCTGATCTTTAGTCACAGTAAGGCTCTCAAAATATTGGCCAAGATTGCTAATGATTCATACCTACTTGGTTTTTCAGGGCTCCTATAAACTTGTATAAGGATATTTTTCCATTTTTGATAAATATTTAACTTTGAGGCATTCACTTTTGTAAACCGCGAAAGTGCCTTACATTCATGTTTACCTCATGAGCATTTCAAGTTGATTCCCACTGCTGTACTATATCCTGTATATATGTATTGTGTGGTATCTGTTGAAATGATTCTTAGAATTTAGAAAGTTGGGAAATAGAAACATAAATGAAAATGTGGCGACCTGACTGCAGAACTGTGAGTACTGAACCACTTTTAGGTGAGGCATTTTCATCCATTCTGTCTCATTTGCGCTCTCAGGATTCATCTTCTACTCTGTCTTCTTTACTCTTAGCTCTCCAAAGCTATATGATGGATGGGTGAGAAGGATGTGCATTTTGGTTGATAGGAAAAATGTTTCTGTTTTCTTCCTTTCCCCTTCACTTCAAGCATTGGTGATTACAATGATTGAGTTACCTCATCCATTAACTTGAAAGGCTCATCAGCTCCTGTTCAAGAAGTAGCACATCCCAGGTAAACAGAGTAGGCTATTATTCAACACTTGGGTTGAGCATCTAAAGCATTTAGATATCATTGACAGAAGAACCAAGCCCTAATGTGTCTTTGTAACAGCTGATTCCTGCAAGAAATGCAAACACAGGATATTTTTCTGTTCTATTACAAGATTACTAAGAGGTGGAAAATATTATTCTCTATTTCATCAATAGTACAATTGCATACACACTTGTAAATACTGGAATTACAAAAAATGATTGTCCTAAGTGAAGCAGTCCTCAATCCATTTGAGTCTATACAATATCCTGAAAAAGAAACGTGAAAAATTTGTTGAAAGTGTTTTTAATATGTAGGTTATTCTGTTTATAAAGCATTTCATATGTATGTCAATAGGGTTTTGTTGCTTAATGCTGATATAATATTTAAATATTTCTGTATTTCTAACAGAATAAATGTATATAAACATTTAAAATAATTTAATGAACCTTGGTGTTGTAGAGAACATATTTTGTAGTTCCATAAAAACTTCATGCAAATAAATTTTTTATATGTAAAACATAAACTGTTTACTTTATATAGCAGCCAACCTTTTTAAAAAACTCATTTCTGGGTTAGTAGATAATGCAAAATGATGTTGAGTAGTTTACATTTTGGGTAGTTTACATTTTAGGTTTTAACTTCAGAGTGTTCATGAGGAACTCTTGATGTACCAGCAGGTATATTTTTGGTGTTTCGTGTTAAGTAGGTTGACTCTTATGTCCATACATAAATATGTATATCAAAGTCCTTCCCTTGATCCTGTCAGCCTTAGCACTGTTTGGGGAGTTGCCTCTACTGTTGGCAGAATTCCACTTTCCCTGAGGTCATTTGGAATCTACCTGGTAGCCTGTGGGATAACCTTTACTCTTAGAACTTTCTTCAAAGGATGATGGTGAGAGTGGGGTATACTGCCAGGCCTTTGCCTATGGAAGTTTGTAGGGCCTGCTTTTGGAGGCAGTCCAACCCTGATGGCTGTACCTATGAGCTATCCCTGTAAACACAGAAGACATGGTGTCTATATTGTTTAAGGACCGGCTCTGCCCTCCTGGGCCCTTGATCTGTGTCTAGACTTCTTGGTCAGAGGTTTCCTCATCTTTCTGCGCATACACTATTATCTAAGATCTTGTAAACATTTTTGAGTTGTAATCCTAAAGTCAGTTACTAAGCTTTTCTAATACACTCAAAGGGAGATTTTGAAATATCTTCATCAATGCTTAGGGTAGAAGGACAGGGTGAAGTGGTTGGGAAAGCAAAAGCTCCCTGGAGATGTTTTCAAATAGTTTGTACTCATTAAAGAGTTTAAGAATGGAAATACGCCCCGAAGCCCTGAAGGGAATAACAATGTTGATATCAACCAACTTTACTTTTCTGGCCTCAAATCCTAGAAAGTATTGTGTTTTTTTTTTATTATTGTTGTTAATTTATATTATCTTTTGCTTATGGGAAGGGTCTCACATTAAAGTTATGTATTTATATATATGTATATGTGTGTGTGTGTGGATGTGTGTGTGTGTGTGTGTGTGTGTGTATATATATATATTTTTTGAGATGGAGTCTTGCTGTGTTGCCCAGGCTGGAGTGCAATGGCCAGATCTCGGCTTACTGCAACCTCTGCCTCCCAAGTCTAAGCGATTCTCCTGTGTCAGCCTCCTAAGTAGCTGGGATTACAAGCATATGCCACCATGCCTGGCTAATTTTTGTATTTTTAGTAGAGAGGGGTTTCACCATGTTGATCAGGCTGGTCTCGAACTCCAGACCTCGTTATCTGCCCGCCTCAGCTTCCCAAAGGTCTGGGATTATAGGCGTGAGCCACCGTGCCTGGCCTAAAGTTATTTTAAGTTTCTTTTGCCCCTGGGATAAAATGAGAAATTTACCTTTTAGATATGGCGAAAAATGGCAGGTCTTGGAGTGCTCAGGAAGCCCAACTTTGAATATTAGCAAAGACCTGAGGGACAGTGAAAACAGAGGGACCTCTCTCACTAGAGAACCTTGAATTTCAGCCAACTTTGCTTAAAACTGTATCTTTAGAAAAACCTTTTTGTTGCTCTGAAGCAGAATGAAATGGCTACAACAGTAGTTGTTTCTTTCATGCCTTTCAGATTTAATTTTCCTTAAATTTGTCCCCTGGGAATTGAAGAGGTGTCTTTTGGGGATATCAGTTTATTTTTAAATTATTTTTTATTTTCTTTCTTTTGAGATGGAGTCTTGCTCTGTTGCCCAGGCTGGAGTGCAGTTACACCATCTTGGCTCACTGCAACTTCTGCCTCCTGGGTTCAAACCATTTACACGTGGCTTTTTAAAAATATTTTTGGTAGAGATGGGGTTTCACCATGTTGGCCAGACTGGTCTCAAACTCCTGACCTCAAAATGCTTGGTTACAGGTATGAGTCACTGTGCCTGGCCTTTTAATTTTTTTTTTAAGACACAGCCACACTCTGTCACCCAGGACCCAGGTTGGAGTGCAGTGGCATGATCATAGCTAACTGTAGCCTCAACCTCCTGGGCTCAAGTAATTTTTCTGCTTTAGCCTCTTGAGTAGCTGAGACTACAGGTATGCACCTATATATCCAGTTAATTTTTTTTTTTTTTTTTTAAGGATACGGAGTTTCACTATTTTGCCCAGGATGGTCTGGAACTCATGGGCTCAGGCAATCTTGCCTTGGCCTCCCAACGTGCTGAGATTACGGGCTTGGGTCACTACACCTGCTGTGATAGCAGTTTATAATAAGAGCAGGTTCTTTTGTTCGTTTGGGTTTTTCTTGTTGTTGTTTTGGTCTCTTGAGCAGCTTCCCAAGTCATACGGGTCATATACTAATTGTTCGTTCCCAGAATGCCTAGATCCTTAACCTTTGCCTATGTATTTTTAAATTCCTTCCTTCCTTCCTTCCTTCCTTCCTTCCTTCCTTCCTTCCTTCCTTCCTTCCCTCCCTCTTTCCCTCCTTCCCTCCCTCCCTCCATCCCTCTTTCCTCTCTCTCTCTTGCTCTCTTTTTCTTTCTCCTTCCTTTCCTTTCCTATTTTCCTTTTCTTCTCTCTCTCTCTCTCTTGTCTCTGTCTATCAGAATTTCACTCCATTCAGCCTCTGCCTCCTGTGTTCAAAGTAATTCTCCTGCCTCAGCCTCCCGCATACCACCATGCCCAGCTCATTTTTGTATTTTACCATGTTGGCCAGGCTGGTCTCGAACTCCTGACTCAAGGGATCCACCTGTCTTGGCCTCCCAAAATGCTGGGATTATTTATAGGCATGAGCCACTGCACCCAGACTTTCTTAGATCCTTGGTCAATCATTCCAGATGGGACCTGTAGAAAATTCTGATTTTCTGGATCCTTCTGAATACTCAGAATCAAGCATGTTGATTATGTTACAGGTCAATAGGAAAAGGTTGTCTTCTGACATCCAAGTTTGTGCTTTGAAATTTAGGAATATAAAGATGCTTTTTGCTTCTACTTTGCATGTTAGAATTTTGTGGTTGGTAGGGAATTTTTGAATATACTTTTATTTTTGAATTGTCTCCATTACTAAGTTTTCTGGGATTAAAGGAAAAGCCTAATGTTAAATGTTATTTTCAAAGGGTTGATTGTGACAGTGAGGATTTCAAGGTTCTACCAGCATTTTTGATTGAGAGAATGGTAGTTTCCTATGGAGGGAAACTTCCTATGAAGTCATATAATGACATTTATTCCAAGAGTGGATATGGTAGGTGAGAAGCACAGGGTTGAAGGGAATCTGGAGGGTCATTCCAGGCTACTGAGTTTCCAGAAATCACATCAATGGATAACACTAAAGAATCACACTTTTTCTAAGAGAGTAAATGATTATATACTTGGGTCAAAAAACTGAAGTTTGGTTATCAGTGAAAATGTGAATCACAGAACAAAACAACCCTTTGTTCTGGGTTAGTGATATAAACTAACACCGTAGTATAAACCTACCCCAGAGGAAGGAGGTTTGCTTTGTTCAGTTTATTATTTTGGGTTCATTTGGCAGAGAATAGAAATCCATTCCAGCTAGTTAAACAAAAATAAATTTATTTTGGGCCATGTGGTGACTTGTGCCTGTAATCCCAGCACTTTGGGAAGCTGAGGCAGGAGGTCTACTTAAGGCCAAAAGTGTGAGACAAGCCTGGGCAGCATGGCAAGACCCTCTCTCTACAAAAACAAAAAATTAGCCAAGTGTGGTGAAATATGGCTATAGTCCTAGCTATCTAAAAGGTTGAGACAGGGATCCATGAGCCCACAAGTTCAAGGCTGCAGGGAGTTATGATAGCACCACTGTACTCCAGCCCGGGTAACAGTGAGACCCTGTCTAAAAGTAATAATAGGCTGGGCGCAGTGGCTCATGCCTGTAATTCCAACACTTCGTGAGGCCAAAGTGGGTGGATCACGAGGTCAGGAGTTCAAGACCAGCTTGGCGAACATAATGAAACCGTCTCTACTAAAAATACTAAAAATTAGTTGGGCGTGGTGGCAGGTGCCTGTAATTCCAGCTATTCAGGAGGCTGAGGTAGGAGACTCACTTGAACCCAGGAGGCGGAGGTTGCAGTGAACTGAGACGGTGCCACAGCACTCCAGCTTGGGCAACAGAGTGAGACTCCATCTCAAAAAAAAAGTAATAATAATAATACATTCATTCAGAGCATACAGAATCATTGGAAGGCTAATGAAGTAGATTATGGTTGAGCTTTCAGGAATAAGTCTCAAAGCCACACCACAGAACCAGGTCACTAAGAGAGTAATTTCAAAACAGCTATGATCCATAGAGAACTAACATGATGAGTCTAGCCATTGCTGCTGCCACATAAAACTAGTGATTGAATGGTGCTTGCTAATGGAAGTATCAAGTTGAAGCTTCCAACTCACTTCTGCCTTCTATATCTCACTCCAGTGTCTCTGATAGGCCCAACCTAAGTCATATCCAGAACCCTGGCTGCAAGGGAATTTCGGCTTTTAGCTTTCTAGTTTCTGGGTTACTAGGAGGGTAGAATGTACTTTGTTGCCTGCCATATACTATATCCATCACACCTAATAATTAGGCATAACTAGTAAATAACCTAAGCAAATTACTATAATTTTTAACATTTTTGGGCAAACAAAGTTTTTCTTTTAAGTTCCCTATTGGGAGCTGTACTGAACAGATTATGAATACAGTCATTGTTGACAGCTCAACTTTATAACTGTCAGGAATTTGAAAGATTCTATGGCGATAACATAAATAACAAAAATTTGAATGATACTTTTCCCTTTTACCTTTATTATAAGAGATGGGTTTTGGAACAGCTACTTCCCTCATTTACAAACAATGACTTTCAACCTGGTGGTGGTGACAATGTTTAGATAACCCCAGTGGTAACTTCATACCCTGGAGAACCAGAAAACACTCTTTGTTCAATAGGTTGTATGAAACACAAACATACAATGCCTTCTTTTGTGGGGATGGGGAGCATAATAAATCAATCTTTTGAAATTTCATACAAAATTATGGTTCCTCTTGGGAATACTTTTTTTTGGGGGAGACAGAGTATCCTTCTGTCACACAGACTAGAGTGCAGTGCTGCAATCTCGACTCACTGCAACCTCCACCTCTTGGGTTCAAGCAATTCTCCTGCCTCATCCTCCCTAGTAGCTGGGATTACAGGTGTGCGCCACCATACCCAGCTAATTTTTCAGTAGAAAATTTTAGTAGAGATGAGCTTTCACCATGTTGGCCAGGAGGGTCTCAAACTTCTGACCTTAGGTGATCTGCCGGCCTCGGCCTCCCAAAGTGCTGGAATTACAGGCGTGAACCACCACGCCTGGCTGGGAAGACATTTTAGGTATGCTATCTCTTAGAGGGGGCTGGATATGAGCCTCCCATAAGGGTCAGTGGACAAAGGCTGGTCTGATGGCCTGCTTCAACTTCTTTTAGGCAGGTGGCTGTGAGAGGACTGAGCTAGCTATGGCAGCAACCCATTAAAGTGAGTGATAACAACATTGACTATTTCCTGTGGCATTGCTTTACTTTGCTATTGACTGGTAGCACTTGTAGCTTTAAATAAATTGAGGAAGTGTGAGAATAAATGGGAGAAATGTTGAGTAAGTCCTTCTTGAAAATGTTAAGTGGGAGAATAATGGTGGTTAATTTCTGTCTTTTAAAATTTAAATTGTGCTTGGATCATTCAAATTTCCATCAAAAGCCTTTCTAAATTTGAAAAAAGGGAAAGGCCGAGTGCAGTGGTTTATGCCTGTAATCCCAGCACACTGGAAGGCTGAGGCAGGAGGATTGCTTAAGACCAAGAGTTCAAGACCAGCCTGGGCAACAGAGCAAGACACCTATCTCTTAAAAAAAAAACTAAAAATTACAAAATAAATTAGCTGGGCATGGTGATGCATACTTGTTGAGCCTAGGAGTTCAAGGATGGAGGGAGCTACTGTGATCATGCCACTGCTTTCTAGCCTGGATGACAGAGCAAGACGCTGTCTTTACAAAAAAAAGTCAATTTACAAAGGGAAGCAAAATTACAATCTATCAAATTATTGGCTGGGCGTGGTGGCTCTTGCCTGTAATCCCAGCATGTTGGGAGATTGATGTGGGCAGATCACCTTAGATGAGGAGTTGGAGACCAGCCTGGCCAACATGGCTAAACCCAATATCTACTAAAAATAAAAAAAAAAATTAGCTAGGCTTGGTGATGTGTACCTGTGATCCCAGCTACTCAGGAGCCTGAGGCAGGAGAATTGCTTGAATCCAGAGGGTGAGGTTGCAGTGAGCCAAGATTGCGCCACTGTACTCCAGCCTGGGCAACAGAGCAGGACTGTCTCAAAAAAAAATTGTTAATGTGATAATTAGTGTATTAATTTCAGTTCAAATTTGTGATTAAGCTTTTTGTTATATATGCATATGCCCTCCCTCTTATACTACCAGTGTGTTTAATACTTGTATTTCTTTCATTTTATTTTATTTTTTTTGAGACAGAGTCTCACTTTGTTGTCCAGGCTGCAGTGCAGTGGCACAATCTTGGCTCCCTGCAACCTTCACCTCCCAGGTTCAAGTGGTTCTCCTGCCTCAGCTTCCTGAGTAGCTGGGATTGCAGGCACCCACCATATTCCTGGCCAATTTTTGTATTTTTAGTAGAGATGGGGTTTTGCCATTTTGGCCAGGCTGGTCTCAAACTCCTAACCTCAGATGATATGCCTGCCTCAGCCTTTCAAGTGCTGGGATTACAGGCATGAGCCATCGTGCCTAGGGTAATTTTTTTTTTAACACTTGAAGCAAGCGTTTTTAATTAGACTGGAAATTTTTCATTAAATATATTTTTGTTTTGAATAAGTACCATTTTCATGTGGTTGCAAATTCAAAAGTCACAATAAGGAGTCTGAGCAAAGTGACTCATGCCTACAATCTTACTACTTTGGTAGGCCAAGGAGGGAGGCTCTCTTGAGCTGAGGTGTTTGAGACCACCAGCCTGGGCTACATAGCAAGACCCCCGTCTCAACAACAACAAAAGTCCCAAAAACGTACACAGTGAAAAATCTTTCTTTCATCTCCAGCCAGCCAGTTTTTGTCCTTGCGGCAACAAAAATCTTTGTAGCCTTGCTGATATGGTTTGGCTGTGTCCCCACCCAAATCTTATCTTGAATTGTAGTTCCTATTATCCCCATGTTCATGGGAGGGACCCAGTGTGATGTAATTGAATCATGGGGGCTATTCTTGTTGCAGTTCTTGTGATAGTTCTCACAAAATCTGATGGTTTTTTTAAGGGGCTTTTTCCACTTCTGCTTGGCACCTCTCCTTCCCACCGCTATGTTTGCTTCCCTTTCTGCCATGATTTTAAGTTTCCTGAGGCCTCCCAAGCCCTGTGGAACTGTGAGTCGTTTAAACCTCTTTCCTTTATAAATTACAAAGTCTTGGGTATGTCTTTATTAGCGGCATGAGAACAGACCAATACAGTAAATGCAGAGAAATTATTTGAGTCGGATGCTTACATAATAAAATACTGCATTTTTGTTTTGGTTTTGTTTGTGTTGTTTTTTGTGACTGTCTCGCTCTGTTGCCCAGGCTGGAGTGCAGTGGCACAATCTCAGCTCACTGCAATCCTGCCTCCCAGGTTCAAACGATCCTCCTGCCTCAGTCCCCCTAGTAACCAGGATTACAGGCATGCACCAACACACCTGGCTAATTTTTGTATTTTTAGTAGAGACGGGGTTTAACCATGTTGGCCAGGCTGGTCTCAAACTCCTGATGTCAAGTGATCCACCTGCCTCGGCCTCCCACAGTGCTGGGATTACAGGTGTAAGCAACTGTGCCTGGCCTGCATTTTTTTTTTTTTTTTTTTTTTTTTTAATGTAAGTGGCACCATACTGCCAGTACTATATATCCTGTACTTTTCACTTTGCAGCATATCTTGGATAATGTTCCATAGAGGTCTGGTTATTTTTAAATAATTTTATAGGTTCAACTGTATGGATTTACTATTATTTATTGAACTAGTCCCCTATTCCTACTGATGATTATTTAAATGGTTTATTTCTAGGGCATTTTTTGTTTTGTTTTACTTTTGCTGTAATAAACAACACTGCAATGAATAACCTTGTCTCTAAGTGACTTAATATAAGAGCAAGTATACCTACAGGACATATTCCTAGAATTTGCTAGGTCAAAGGGAAACTTTGATATTATCTAGTTGCCCTTGACAGAAGTTGAAACAATTTACAGTCCTTATGCACTTACAATATGTTAGAATGTTTGTTTCCCCATATCTTCACCATCATAGTGAGTAATCAAACTTTTTCATCTGTGCTATTCTAGTAGGTGAAAAATGGTAACAGTATAACCCCAAAAAGAGGATGTTTTTCACCACATCCTCACCAGCATTTGTTATTACCTGTCATTTGGATATAGGCCATTTTAACTGGGGTGAGATGATACCTCATTATAGTTTTGATCTGCATTTCTCTAATGACCAATGATGTTGAGCATCTTTTTGTATCCTAGTTGCAATTTGTATGTCTTTTTTTGTTTGTTTTAAATTTTTAAAAAGTTTTTTTAAATAGAGATGGGGTCTTACTATGTTACCCAGGCTGGTCTTCAATTCCTGAAATCAAGGGATCCTCCTGCCTCAGTCTCCTAAAGTACTGAGATTATAGATGTGAGCCACTGTGCCTGGCCCCTTTGTTTTTCTTACTGAATTTTAGTCTTTTAATTTGTAGGGCCTTTTTTATATTTTACTGAAAGTAACTACAAAAATGAGTTGCACCAGGTTGGGCAACATGGTGAGACCCTGTCTCTACCAAAAATACAAAAAATTAGCTAGGCATGGTGGCACATGCCTGTGATTCCAGCTACTTGGGAGGCTGAAATGGGAGGATACTTGAGCCCAGGAGACGGAGGTTGCAGTGACCCAAGATTGTGCCACTGCACTCCATCCTGAGCGAGAGTAAGACCTCATTTTAAACAAACAAACAAACAAAAATGAGTTGCAGATATTTTTTCCAGTTTGTCATTTTCCTTTTGGCTTATCTGGTGGTGACTTTTTGCCATGCTTTTTTTTTTTTTTTTGAGACAGAGTCTCACTCTGTCGCCAGGCACCAGGCTGGAGTGCAGTGGTACAATCTCGGCTCATTGCAGCCTCCGGGTTCAAGCAATTCTCCTGCCTCAGCCTCTGGAGTAGCTGGGACTACAGGCGCACACCACCACACCCAGCTAATTTTTGTATTTTTAGTAGAGACGGGGTTTCACCATGTTGGCCAGGATGGTCTAAATCTCTTGACCTCGTGATCAGCCCGCCTTGGCCTCCCAAAGTGCTGGGATTACAGGCTTGAGCCACGGTGCCCGTCGCATACTTTTTTTTAGGAGACAGGGTCTTACTGTGTTGGCCAGGCTGGTCTTCAGCTCCTGGCCTCAAGCTATCCTTTTACCTCAGCCACTGGAGTTGTTGAGATTACAGGCATGAGCCACCATGCTCGGCTCATACATTTATAGAAATTGAATTTATCAGTCTTTTTAGATCTTGTGTCATAGTGAAAATGTCTTTTCTGTTCTAAGGTTATAAATGAATTATTGTATAGTTCTATTGTTTACATTTAAACCTTTTACATATCTGGAGTTTGTGCTAGTGTAGTGTATGGGGTATGGATCCAACATTTTTTCTAAATGGCCCATTTGTCTGAATGGGAAACTTTTTACGGCTGTCATTCTTGGCCTGTCCTTCACATGCACGTGGATCACATTTCTGTTTGCTCAGCTCAAAGATCACAACTCAGATGCCTGTAGAGACTAGGCAAGTTACATAAAAGGGTGAAGAGTGCCAGGTGGGAAGTATAGCCAATTGGAAATGGATGGCATACTTTTATAAAGAGGGCAGCCACTACCCAGTGCCTGTGGATTACTCTCTTGCATGAATGCAGTAGGGCCCAGTGTTGCCAGATCTTTGTCAAGAGAAGCTGAAAATACAGATTTTTATATGAAGACCCTTGATTTTAAAATGTTAACAATTAAATTTAAATACAGCCTTAGCTAAACAAAATATGTCTTCAGGCCTGATTTGGCCCAGAAAAGCCTTCTGATACTCCTGGCCAAGAATGAGATTTCTAACAACTTTACTCTTCTATGAGTAAACAGAACATACATGGTCTAGTAGTTTGACAGCACAGTAGTTTATAGCTGGAGTCTGAAAAGAGGAGAGAAAAGTATGGAACTTCTTTATAAGCCAAAGTCTTTGCTCTCACAGACTGAAACATTAATGGGAGAAATACAGGCATTTTACCATCCCACCTTTTATCCCAAGTATATGAGAATGGATATGGCCATTTATTAGAGGACATTCTTGATTTAGTGGATACTTGTAATTAGAAAAATAATCTTGTTTTCCAACTCTGTCATTCTGATTTTGCCCAAATGACAAAGTGGTGCATGTTTTGGGGAGAATAATTGCTCAGCTACTGATCCTAGAACTGAATTGTAGTACCAACTTATTTTTTGTACCCTGTTTGTATTTTCCGTTTCTCACTGCTGGTAGCTAGGGATAGGGAGTAAAATATCTTCTTTACAATCTGTTAAAAGTAATATGCTCAGCACCTTTCAGTGGGTTGAAATCTGTGCTAATGATAAAGTTGCTAGAGCCTATGCCTCTTTGAATTGAAAAGCTTGTCAGGATCTTTTCTGGGTTGCTAATGAGTGGGTCCCAGAGGCCCATCCAGGTTTTGTAGGATCTGAAGCCTACACAATTTGAATGATACGATAGAGAAAATAAGTATCTTTTGGAAGTTTTGTAAAAACGGTATGATTTTGTGAACGCACAGTGGCCCGTGCAAGTGAAGGACCTTTCAATTAAAGCTTGATCAACGTCATTGTCATCTGCCCCTTCTGACCCTTTATCACCGGGCTAAGGGCTTTCCACGCCTCATCTCTCGGTCCCCACACCATCACCCTAAGAAATAGTCGCTGTCTCCTATATCTCCTAACGATAAACTATGTATAGTATATATACTTTGTATAAAACACTGTACTCATAAAAACAAGCCACGTAGAGCACAAATACGTTAAATATCCTGTCCAGCCCGAATGCCCCTTTCTCTCCACATTCCTATATGACCTCCCACGACGGTACTGCTGGGGCTCGAGGCTCAACAAGGGTGGTATAGTTTGGATTGTCTTGCGCAGGTCGAGAGGAGGGAGGATATGTGTAAAAGGCAGTCAAACTGAAGAGTCTGGAGCGGCCCCTCGCACAATCCCGAGAGACGCGGACTCCTCTGGGGCCCCAGGCCCCGCACCCCCGCGCCGGGCTGGCTGGCGCCTCTGCTCGCTTCGCGGCGCGCATGCTCCATGTGGGGCCTCTCCGGCTACTCGGGAAAATGAGCGCCTGGCCGAGGGGGCGGGCCGAGCCTTGGCTGCTGGGACCCGGAGCTCGGTAGCTGCCCCAAGACACTCTGTGCGGCTGCTGAAGGGGCGGCAGCGGCTGCCGGCGGTGTGCGCGCCATAGTAAGGCTCGCTCGCCCGACGCGCATTCCGGGTCGGTCCCCAGAGCCCTGTGGAGGTGACTCGAGCGGGCCGAGCGGGTGGCGCTGTCGGCTCGGAGGGCGGGGGGAAGGCGATGAGGAGACGAGCCGCCGCAGCCGCCGCTGCTCAGCGCCCTCCGAGGCCGTAGCGGGAGTCGGGGTGGGGCTGGGCCAGCTGTACCCCCGCCGGGCCGCGAACCCAGACAAAGGAGGAGGAGCCGCCCCAGAAGCTGGCCAGCGCCGCCGGGAAAGGAGGTCGCCGCCGGGGGTCGCCCGGGCTCGCGGGTCACGGCGCTTCCTCTGCGGGCACTGCGGGAGGCGAGGGCCGCCCCGGCGGAGGAAGCCGACCCCAGGGTCTCCGCCCGCCCGCCGGCGCCGCCTCCGAGCCGCCTCGGCCGTAGCCGCGGCCCGGGCGGGAGGCGGCGGCCGCCGGCGAGGCTTGGCGGCCCGCGCCCTGCCTGTCAGGCCACCGGCCGGGTCCGCGGGCTGCCCCCGATGCGGAGGCGCTGTCGCCGGGGCCATGCAGCAGGCGCCGCAGCCTTACGAGTTCTTCAGCGAGGAGAACAGTCCGAAATGGCGGGGACTGTTGGTCTCGGCCCTGAGGAAGGTCAGTGCTGGGGGCCGGGACGGCCGGAGGGTGGGGTGCCGGGCCCGCGGTCTCCCCGAGCTTCTAACGGGGAGCAGCTCGTCCCTCCCACAGGGCTGGAGTCCCTGGGGCCGAGCCGTTTCTCGTTGGCTGGCGATGGGGGGCTCACAATTGCCTGTTGCATTTTGAAGGACGTTTTTCAAGTTTTTTTTTTTTTTTTTTTTGCCTGGTCCCGGAAGGAAGGTTTTGTTATGATCATAAAACTGGATTTCATGTTGCAGTCATTTCGTCAGGCAACTTCCGCCGTTGACCAATTTGTTGTCCTCCAATTTGTGGCTGGAATCGGGCAAGAGAAAGTGCCGCTGGTATTTAGACAGTTTCTAAAACAAAAGCACATTTTCAGGCCGAGTAATTACTTTTAATTAAGTTC